GACTGGGGATTGAGCCCGCAACCTGGGCATGTGCCCTGACCAGGAATCGAACCCCGATCGCCTGGATCCTAGGTCTACGCTCAACCACTGAGCCACTCCTGGCCAAGCTCATTTGTTCTTTTGACCAAAGTACTTTTCTAAGATTTCTCTAGCAGTCAGTATTTTTATGAAATACTAAGGGTTATTATGGTATGAGACATAATTTATGTACATTTGGCTAAGCTTATACTTAGTTATTTGGGTAGGCAATTTTCAGTACTTTATACTACTATATAGACACTAAAAAAATGGATATATATTGAATTATGTGTAAAGATGTCCATACTAAATTAGTATAAAAACCGCAGAAGGTGTGCCCTAGCCAGTTTGGCTCAGTAGTTAGAGCGTCAGCCCGCAGACTGAAGAGTCTTGGGTTCGATTCCAGTCAAGGGCAATGTACTGCAGTTTCAGGCTCAATCCGTGGCCTCAGTCGGGCGTGTGCAGGAGGCAACCAATCACTGTGTCTCTTTCACATCGATGTTTCTCTTTCTCTCTCCCTTCTACTCTCTCTGAATAACATTTTATATTCTTGTAAAAAATAAATTTATACACACATATCCCAGATGCAGATGGAAGAAAACTAACAATATATAAACTGAGGAAGATGGATTATGTCTAGTTATAGCAAGGTATGATTACAGCAGATGTTATTTTATATAGGCTGAAATTTCTAATAATAGATATGTATTACTTTACATATAAAAAACATAATGCTGATTCCACTCTGAAAAACAAATTATAACTGGCCCAGGTGAAAAGATAGCTAACCTAGTGTGTTCATTTATTTGACAGTTGTTTAATGAGGACTTACTATGTGCCTGACATCGTGTTAAATGCTAGGTCTGGGGGGAATAAAACAGACAAAAAACTGCCTTCATGGAGCTGACATTCTAGTTCAAAAGAGAAAAACGAAATATATTAGGCAAAATATATGCCAGATAGTGATTGTGTCATTCAAAAAATATATAATGAGCACTCACATCTGTTGTAGGCACTTCACCTACAAAAGAAGTAGACAAAATACATCAAGATTCCTGCCTTTGGGGATCTGATATTCCAGCTGATAGACAATAAAAAATACCTAACAAATAAATTATATAGTACACTAGAAAAAAAGAGCAGAGTTAAGGATATTAGGGGTGTTTTGAGGAAGAGGTTAGAATTTGAAATAGGGTGCCCAGGGAAATCAATGAAAGGAGCCCTTTGAGCAAAGACTTAAAGGAGGGAGGCAACCAGATAAAAATCTGAGAGAACATTCCAGGCAGAAGATACAGCTTATAGCAAAGGTCCTAAGGCCAAAGATGTTTGCTAAATTCCAAGGAATAGTAAGGAGGCTAGTGAGGCTGGAGCAGAGGGAGGGAGGGATAAGTAGTAGGAAAGGGCTACAGAGAAAAATAAAGCAAAGTGTGTGTGTGTGTGTGTGTGTGTGTGTGTGTGTGTGTGTAAGAGGGGGGGTTAAAACTTAAATAAGCTTTACCTTTGCCTTCCACATGGTAGGCTCTGAGATATTTTCATTGACTGAACCACATACAAAGGTAACAATAATGACAGTAGCTACCAGAGAGCCAGTCTAATAATGGCCTCTATGTGAATTAAAAAACATAAATTCTATCAAGAAACTAGTACTGGTGAAATTGCAATTCTGCTTCTTCATACTTCAAAAGGTTGTGTTCAATCATCTGGGAAACATTGTTTTAAGACATGAATGATAAATGACCCAAAATGAGAAGACAAAAGGAGGCATATAGTTGTGGTTTTTAATGTCCACAAATTCTGACATCTCTTCCACCAAAGATGGAGCCTGACTGCCCTCCTCTTAAGTATGGGCTGCACTTAGCGACTCACATCTAATGAAAGGATGTGGTGGTGTATAACGTGTGAGACTGGATCATAATAGGCATTACAGAGTCCTCCTTGCTGTCTCTCTTGGATCACTGGCTTGCAGACAAGCCAGCTGCCATAAAGAATATATTGAAGAACACCAGGGAAAGGTCCACCAGGCAAGGAGCTGAGGCTTCCTGCCAAAAGCCAACAGCCATCTGAGTAAGCCACACCTTGCTGAACAGCTATTTTGAGCCAGACTCGCCCATGAGGCAGTATATTTTTCCGCACTTGAATATTAAAGGAAAGCATTCGAATAAACTTAAATGTATTTTAGTCATATTTTGTATTTATATTACCATATGTCAAAATTAAACGTGTTGCATATGTGTTAATATTTACATACATATTGTGTTTCACTATGTGTTCCCTTAGAAGAACATAATTTACACGACCTAATGGGATTTTTTTTACCACTGGTTACTATGTTTTGTAATATATGATCTCGCAGCTCTTATAATCTGAGCCTAAACAAAGATAACTTAGAAACAGTCTAGATCACTCTTTCAAGACTCTACATTGATACTTAAATTAATGTAAGTGCAGACACGAGTTATCTTGTGACCTGTCAATGACATTTGGGAATGGGAACATGAGTATACTTGTAACCAGTCAGCAAGGTATTAAAAGCAAAATTCCAGTACCAGTCAAGCAATGACTGCAGCCTAGCCGTCATCTTGATTACAACTCACGAGAAACCATGAACCAGAATGACTCAGCTAAGCTGCTACTACTGAAACTTCAAGATATAAATGTTTGTCATTTAAGGCCATTAAGGTTTAGGGGTAATTTGTTACATAGCAATAGATAATACAATAGTAAATATTCAAAAGATTTTTATGGAATGATGGAAGAAGTTACTCTTTAAAAAGCTGACCTTTGAAAAATGACTAAAAGTGGATTTCAAGATGGCTGCAGAGTAGGTGGAAGCTACACACACCTGCTCCTGGCCCCAAACTGGATTTACAGCTAAATTATAGAGCAATAGACCTGAATAACCAAATGAAGGCTACCTGAACTAAAATATTATAACCAAGTATTTACAGGATAAGCCACATAGAGACTGGTAAGAAGGGCAGAGACATGGAAAGGGCTAGCCTCCACACCCAGGTGTGGTGGCTGAGAAGCCAGAAGGGTATCGTGCTGCAAAACTCCCTTCCCCCAGTGCCTGGGGTGTCAACTCCACACAGGGATCCCAAACCCAGAACAACAGAGATGGAAGAGGAGCACACATAGCATCTGGAGGTGAAAATGAGAGGGGATTCAGTCCACTTGGGAGACCCAGATGCCACCTTCCCAGGGGTGAGCACTCCTATTGTTACAGCACTAGCCTGGGGAGTGCACTGCCTGGTCTCCAACTGTGGGCTAGGCCACTGTGGCATACTCAGATTGTCCAGAGGAGTCACCCAGCACTGACTTTAGGGGCCCTTTTTTTCTGGGGAGGTTCTTGGAGGAGACTCAGACAGTGACTAAAATGTACAGCTTTGGAAAGAGGGCTAGTCTCCTCCACCTTAAGTGCACAGCCAGTACCCTTCCCCCCATATGCCAAATCACTTGGTGGGCCCCATCCTACTGAGTTCACCCACACAGGAAAACTGGTGTGCCACATACAGCTGGGACTTTCAGAGCATGTTTCCTGGGAAAGCTTTTGAATGGGAACCAGACAGGCAGGTGCTGGGGTGTGCGGCTATAATGCTGGGCTTGGGGGGGTACTCCAATCTCCCCTACAAGCTCAGCCTGCACTACCCTGTGAAGGGGAAGTGCCCACCCCCTTCCTACAGGCTTGTGGGCACCACACTCAACAGGAGACTGTTTGGACCAAGGCTGTCAAGTCCCAGATACACCACCCCACTGCTCTGTTCTGCAGGGGGAAGGGAGAGCTGCTCAGAGCTAAGTGTAAGGATCTTGGAGGTTATTGTCTGGAACCAGGATGAAGTACTTAGCCCCCTTCTGCAGGCTGGGCTGGCATCATCCCCAATGGGAGACTCTTTTTCTCTGTACCCTGAGCTCAGGATGGCTGAGCTTGATCCTGCAGAGGGGATGGCTAGCTGCACCCAACCCGAACCTGTGGCATGCCCCTCCTGGGGGAACTAGAGTTGGAGACTCTGGCAGAGACTGAGTGGTTTGGCTCTGAAAGTTCTCCTCCTTAAGTGCCTGTGTGACCCCCAAGCAGGGGACCCACTGGCCCTGTCCTTCCGACCCCAGAT